CATGTAAACTGACTGCTTCTGCTTCATCCGGTGTGAACGTAGCATAAAGCCTCAAACTTAACGCTAATTCTGACATTCTGACTTGGAAAAGCTGCCCGGATTAGAGGCGAAGCGTCCAGTGGATTGTTTTTTAAACTTTTTTGGAAAGACAAACATACAAATAAAGATGGAGCCTTCTGGTGCTGAATGGATGGACATTTCAGAAATCCTGAAACTTTAGCATCGTCTCCGCTCCCAGCGGAATCTGGGCTCTAAATCCGTTCGCTTTATTTCAGTGTGGGGTTTTATAACAGGTCTGTAATGTTGGAGCAGAAACGGCTCAGCCGACTGTTTCTTCCCTCATCAGGTCATCCCACCGTCCCGGCCAAAGTCCAGCAGCTGGCGGAGTCGCTGCAGCACATCTCCGGCCAGCTCAACGGTGTTCTGAGCGCCCTGGGCACTTTGGCCCAGAGGGACAGCAGCTCTCTGTACTCCACGCCTCAGAGGTTTGGGTCAGAGGCGTGGGGCCCGCCTGAGAGGCTCTGGAGCTGGGGGCCTCAGAGCGGCTCCACAGCCGCCCCTCTCTTCAGCACCCCCATCAGCAGTGGGCTGACCTCAGCAGACCCACTGAACAGCAGATGGAGCCAGATATTCCCTGGTAGGTGATGAGTTACTGAAACCAGAACTTTTGGGCCCAATTAGTCTCTGCTGGTTCTGAGCGATTCCTTTTGTTCTCCAGGAGCAGCTGCTGACCCAATCTCCTCCAGAACCACCTCATCTTATCCATCATACCCTCCCATCAGGTACAGACAACCTTTAGATCTTACAGCTGATCCCCGCAGCCCGGTTCTACTTAAACTGTGCGTCTCTGTGTGTGTTAGCGAGCATCGGCGCGGCCATCAGGCGACGCAGAACGCCGTGGAGCTGGACGGCCACAGGCTGCAGGGGCTGATTGACAGCAACAAGAAGTGGCTGAACACGCGCAGGAAAGACCCCAGCATGTATCCTTCCCACACACTGGAATGAAGCGCTGGAGAATCAGTTTGTCCTGCAGAAATTAAAGCAACGCTGTGCAGCTTTTAGCCACTAGGGGGTGCTAGATCTGCAGGTTCCAGGTGCAGCTTTCCTGTTGGCCATATGTTGTTTGAACCACTTATCTCTATTTATTCACTGGATACCTGATAGCCCGTTGGTTGTATGGGGTGGAGTTAAGCTCCCAGCCGCCATATTGGTACTCCCTAGTTAGATCGGGGACATTGCATAAACATTATGAAGTCAATGCAGTCTATAATTAATTTTATATGACTTATTCTAAAAGTCCATCACAACAAAATGAATGTGTTAATGGGACACAAAAATACAGATGTGCCAAAAGTGCTAAACTGATGATGTACATGTATTTTTACATTGTTTTGGTAATTCCATTACCCAGGTCTCCCTTGAAAAAGAGATTTTATCTCAAGGGACTTCCTGGTAAAATAAAGGTTAAATAAATAAAAACATATTGCATATCAAGATTTCACATCAAGACTAAATTACAAGTACATGTCTGTTAAGGCATGCAATATATATATATATATAGGATAAATGCCACAAACACTACAAAAACGACAGCGTCGTCCACTTAATTGGTCCAAGATAGCCAGACATCTCTGCGCTACATAATATACTATAGGGAACATCAGTGTATATATGGATTTTCTTAGTTAGTACATCCACTGACTGTAAAATTACCTGTGAAACATCTTCCTACAGCCGCAAACTGCTTGTTTTTGCAGTCAAATGGTACACACAAAGGCATTTTTATGGTGAGTCTCCGTTGGAGTGGGGAGTACCAATATGGCGACCGGTGGCCTCACTTTTTTCGGGATATCAGCAAACCAGGGAATAAATAGAGATCAGTGGTTTGAACCAACATACAGAAAAGTCCTGAAGTTTGAGGATTTGAGGAAAGATTCATGGCTTTAGAGGAAACCTTACATCAGAGCTAAAACCGGCCCTTATTTTTATCTTAAATTAAGCTAACGCTCGGGTCAAAAATTACAATGTGTTGCTTTAATTTAATTATT